TCATCAATTGAGTTTTCAGGTTCTTCTGCGCCATTCGGCCATTGCACATTAGTGGGCCGAAAGACCTCCTCCTTTATCTGACAAATCTCGTTGGACCTCAAGTCAGTCTAAAACACGACTTCTCTTGGCTTTGCATATTTATCTTGGCCTTGAAACATTATCGGTCCTATCCCTTCTTTGTAGAGCCAAGCATTGACCATGTGAACCTCTGCTACAATCCACTATCTTGTTGACTCCTCTTTTGAACCTGCTAACCGTTAGATCAGTTTGGACTAGGTCCTCTTCTTTCTTCCCAAGTTTCTTCATAGTCGCTATAGGAAGAATGTTGACAGCCAGTCCATTATCCACCAAGACCTTGTTGAAAGGGTTTTCCTCCAAATGAACTCGGATTTATAATGGCTTCAAATGTTACATCATAGGCTGTGTAGGTTTCCTAAACGGACAACCTTTCATGCTTCTAGGACCTCTTTCGGGAGAATACTCTTCACAGCACCTAGAGGTTTCATCTTTGTCCAAGAAAGTTGACCATGACATTCCCGTGTCTTCTACATCTCCTTCCAGGATTCAAACTAGGGTCCCTAACTCTTGAATGACGTTGGCAACAACCCAAGACCATTGATAGACACCACTGGCCCTAGAGTGCTAAATTGGATGGAGTCAACTTTGTCACTATCGTTTCCATCGGTGGAGCTTGTAGTATCTTGCTTATTTCCTCCCTTGCAACTCTCTAAGAGGGATGTTGAGCATGATTCTCATTCGTTCCACCACTCTTTTCATCATTCATTCCTCGAAACTCTCCTCAGTTGAGGACTCAGGCTCTAGCTTCTTCTTCCCTTTCTCCTCAGTCGTGGCCTTCTTAGAGGCCACTAAACACTATGGATGCAGGGATACACCAAAGTGGGATCTAATCTCCCCAATCTCGGGCTCTTGTTGTTGGAATGTATCACGGGCCTACCGAGCCTGAAGCTCCTCTTCTTCTTCCCACTTGCACAACTCTGCATGTATGCATTACTTCCTGTGCATCTGTGATCTAGACAGTGGCCAAGGCTGATGTACTATGGGAATTTTTGGTGTTGGGCTACGTATCAAAGGCCCTCTAACAACTCAATTGGTTTCACTATCCTTGGACAATCCTGAGAACCTTCACCTTTGATAGGCTGACCAAGCGCCAACGTTGTGACGTATTCCTCATACTTTATTCCTAGCCAACCCCTTGATGGCTCTAGTATTTCTTTACTATGCCCTTTGTAGCTCGGCCTCATAAAATTTCTTGACTAATCCTTTTGGACCTACATACACAGCAGCCACTCACCTAGTCGTTCTTAGTGGGTTTCCTTGTAATGTCATTTCCTTCATGTCCCCTTAGATGATTCAGTTCACTCCTCTTTGATAAATTCATCTGGAATGATCTTATAAAAAGATTTACACCTAGGACATAGACTATTGTTGACCATGTCGAGCTGCTCCAAGAGCCCCGCCGATATATGTGGCTCAACCCTAGAGTCCTCTAATGACTCATCCAAGGGTGCATCATCTTTCTTCCCCTTCAGCCTTTCATCCTCCATTGACCTATCCTCGCATAAGTCAACTTTCAACATGGAGGTTTTTAGTTGTCCTACTTCTACCATGTTATTGGCGGCGATCTTTTGAAATGGGTCCTTATCAACCCTCATCTCTTACGTTATCTTGCCTCTGAAGATCAATTGGCCCTTAGTCAAATTCTGCTAAATGACATTCCTGAACACCATACAGTTTGTCGTAGAATGGCTTTACAAATGGTGTTATTTACAGTATATCTTGCTCTTTAGTTTTGTGGTCAATGGGATCTTATGACTAAACGAAAGCTTAATAGTGTCGTCAGTAAGCAAATTGTCAAAAACTTAATCGACCTTTGAATTGTCGAAGTCATACTTGCAACCACTTTCGTCACTAGTGTCACTGTCAACACTCAATGCAATCTGCATTTGATTCTTTGGAGGCTTGGTTAAAGCCTTACACACGTGCGGTCGTCTTGCCACAATCTCAGCCATATTCACTTTTAGCTCTTGATATGGTTTGACCATGAAGATCTTAGTGTGGGGATCTCTATACTACGTTCTTTTGGACACGTTTCTTCGGTCCAACTCTTTACGTAGGATATGTTTATCGGGTAGTTGGCGTGGCCAGCTCGAACAAGTCGTTGAAGTTCATCCCTTCAAACTTCTGCTGAAGATAAAACCCTAAGCCATCTGTGTAATCCACACATACTCCACCAAGGGCAGCACCAACTTGCATCAGTTCCTAGCCTTCTTAATCTATGCAATGTACTGCTCTGCTGTTTCCCCAACTATCTAGTACAACCTAACCAAATCGGCTATGGAAACTTTCGGCTCAGTGCAATAGAACTAAGTTAAACTTATGTTTGAGTTGTTGCCAGCCCAACACAGAATTGGGCCACAAATCAATTTACCACCTGAAGGCCACTCCTATCAAGGAATTTGAAAATAATCTCAACTTCAGGAATTCGTTAGCCCCGGCTTCACTGCACTAGACGGTGTACCAGTCAATGTGTTCCACGGTCGACTGACTGTCTTCACCCAAAAATGTAGTAAACACTAGAACTTTGTACCCCTAAGAATACTCATATTCCCTGTTCATCTAGTCGGGATAAGGTTTGAGGCATGTCAGCCTAATCACCCTTCTCATAGCATGGCCGACATGTTCCTAGATAATCTTATCCAGTTGGTCTCTATTCATGACCACCTGGGGTGCCGCTAGAAGGACAACCAACTGCTACCTTCTTTTTTCCCCGACCTCTAGGTTGGGGGCCATCTCCTCCTAAAAAAGAGGATTGATGTTACACCTATGGCCATTCTTGGCCTGTTGTGCCCTCTGAGGTCGCACATAAGGAGGAAGCACTATTTGTAGTGCTTCTACTGGAGCCGACTATACAGGGGGAAACAATGGTTGTCTCACACACCCCTAATGGCTCAAATTGTCTACTAGCCACTTCAATGCTTCTCTAGCGCAGTCGGATTCTTCTCTGATTAAATCCCCCAAGCCTTAAATAAAATCAGAGACTTGATGAGAAACTTCATGCGAAATAGCCTTGATGGAGGCCTTAGGCTTTGAGTTAGATTCGTGGTTCTCTTGCCCCTCAAGTGGAGACAAGTCTTCCTGCAAGTTGGGGATGCCATATCTATTTTCTACCACAACTTCGTGCATTGGAGGCAGTTTACGTATTTTCGTATTGCAGGCATGTCAAAGTCTAGGTGGGCTTAAAATTCAAATATGTACGACCTTACCTACTTGAACTAACGTGAGGTTCTAAAAGTGTGACTGTTTAGGTGATTGTAGTGAAACATAAGTTTACCTCTAAATTTTTTTCTATGACTTGGAGCTTCAAGGATTTTAAATAATTTCAGCAATCAAAGACATGTGAATACTACTTAAAATAAATAGCGGCAATGCAAAGTAACAAATAAATTAAATTCGAATCTGGAGGACGAATTAATCATTGAACTTAATATTAATTGAAAGCAATAAAAGATCACCACAATGATGCATTACAAAAAAAAATAAAGATTGTTTGAAAGTAAGAATTAAGTAAAAGATAGGCTGGATCTATGAAATTTTTTTGTGATTGATTATGAGATCTCTTCTCGGTAGCCTAGCCTTTGCTATTGATATAGATTGCTTTCAACTATTGATCCATCTTTTTCAACCACTATTGTGATCATGGCCTTATCCCTTGAGATACATGAATGTGTATTGAACTATTTCCAACTAGTGACTCATGATCTCACATTTTCTTGTTTCTTAGGATTCCAAGAGTCTTATTCCTTTAATTGTTCTGTCAATTGTGGACTCTCATATTCTCCCTTATGGCTGTCAGATTCCTTCCAAGTGTCACCCTTAGATCTTGCTATTTTTGGGTGACACGTGGCAGAAATGCAAAAAATTTGCAAGTATTTCGCATTTCTACTTTATTTTTTGTGAAATACCAAAAATTCTTCCATTAGTCGGCTGAACAAATGCAGAAACCGAGTAATCAGGTAGGATCGAGTTAGAATATAATGGAACTGGTCTGGTGGACGGAATTTTGAACCCCTAACTTGCCGCCTTATGGGCAGATGATAAGAACTGGAACTATGTGACTTTGGAGGGAGACTCACAATCAGTAATCATGCGACAGTCCTGGAGCAGATTAAACTCCACTGGTCTATCTCCATCTTAATTTCAGAAATATGGACTCTGCTTGCAAAGCATATAGATTGGGGAATGGAACATACTCCAAGGAATGCTAATTATCCAGCTCATGAAGCTGCACGATGTGGCCTGTCCCTGGGATATACAGGCCTACTTCATGAAAAAGAGTTTCCAGTTATGGCACGGAAGGTGCTAATTCAAGATAGGTCCCCTTAGATACATGTTTTTACTGTTCCCATTTAGGAGAGTTAAAGTCCTTACTTTTTAGCTAATGTAGCTAAATGAAAAAGTCTGTATTCAGGTTCACCTCAAATCTAAGAGCATCTCTAACCACATTATCTAAAATAGTTATTCGAAATATATTTAAATATTGAATTCTCTACTTTAACTAGCTACTTTTTTCAAATTCACTCCGACCATACTATTTATTTTATCTAACTACTTCAACTAATTTTAACCAACTTTTAATAATATAATTCAAAAATTCCTCATTTCTCTTTTCTTTCCCATTATGATCCCAAAAAAGCTATAGCCTTTCAGCTTCTACAGTCTAAAACTCAATCCAACCCATCAAAACACCAAAACAAACGTCTTCAATTCCACCCCAATACCCAAAAATCAAACACTTCTACAAACTTAACCCCCAAAAATTATTATTCTCAAATTAAATTCTATCAAATTAAATCACAAAAAACTAAACAAAATCACCTGAAATTACACAAGGGTACTACAATTGATTGATTCACAGAGCTCCGTTGAAGTTGACTGATTCACGGAGCTTCAAAGCCGATTGAGAGATAAAGAGAGTGAGATCAATTGTGAAGACGATGTTGTGGACTACGCTTGGCGATGATGACGATGCCTTCTGTTGAGAGAGCCTTCGGTGGATTGAGCTTGGCAATGAAGACGATGCCTTCTATTGAGGAATAACTAGCCACAATCGGTTTTTGATCTTCCTGAAAACCCCAAACCAGGAGCCACCAAAACAGAACCCACCTCCTGAAAAACCCCAAATCTCATTTTTTAATTATTTTGATCGATTTTTTGTGATCAAAATCCATGGAGTTTGTGTGTGTGTGTGAGAGAGAGAGAGAAAGAGAGAGAGAGACTACCAGACGATAAAGTTTCTGTGATGAAGACGATGTTGTGGACTGAGCTTGGCAATGAATACGATGCCTTCTGTTAAGAGAGCCTTCGTGGACTGAGCTTGACGATGAAGACGATATCTGCTGTTGAGAAATAGCTAGTCACAATCAGTTGCCAGATCCAGCAAGCCAATATTGAGAGATGGGTAATACCGAGTCAGATAGATAGCCCCGTTAGAGCGCAAAATTAATGGATTGTGTATCTAAAATAACTAACAAGCCTTCTTTAGCTATCCCGTTGGAGTTGTTCTACGTTGGAGTTGTTCTAAGCGGATTGAAGTTTTAAAAAAAAAAAAATAATTCCAACTGGCTAATGGAAGCTGTCATTTGTGGACCTTGACCTGGAAGACTGACCAAAGAATCTAGATAAAGAGAGGCAAACAGTATACCGGTGCAGTTTTTCTAACCAAACATGATGCCTTGTTTCAAAGTCCATTTCAGTTCGTTTTTCTGTCTTGAGAATACACTAAAAAATGGAGAAAGCAAGAAAAGAAAAGAAAAGAAAACTCCTGGTTCTTATTTTTCTTTTCTATTAATAATCGGCAATCAAGCAGAGCAATGAGGGAAATCGAATCCGATAAAATCAGATTTGACCGCAAGGTCCTCAACAACTACATCAGGAAACCTGAAGATTCTCAGTTCTCAGTTCAAAAAAAAAAAAAAAGAGGACTCTCAGTTCTAACAGCTGCTATATGGAGTTTGCGGCAAACAGTTCATGCATTCATTTGGTAGCAAAGTAGATTAGCGTGGCGTCCTCACCTGCACAAACAAGCAGACTAGCTCTCTCATTCCCTTATTGTGCCGGCACACCTAGGTGAGCGAGGTAGGGTTATATTAGACGGAAGGGGACTACGGATTGAGGAAGTCGTGGATCATATATGATAAGTGCGACTAAATTTAACTGAACTAAAAACAAATAAGAGTTGTAAAGACAAGACCTTCGGAGATAGAAAGAACAAATTCATAACATGAAAAAGATACAGCAACAATTTAATCAGACACAAATTTGGTATCATTAACTGTAACATTTATCTGTAAATTTACTAGTCATAATACAACACCTCAAGTTGTATTGCCAACCAAAGGTTGAACCTTGTGTCACCAAAGCTTTCAGAACACAAATCCAAGGCTCAAAAACACTTCAGAACAAGGAAACCAAATGAATACAAAAAAATAGAAGGAAACACCTTCTGTAAACAAGAGCACCCTTAAATCTAACATGAGAACTTAACAAAGGACCTGACCATGGACACCTTTACACATCTCCTAAGTTGTTCACCAGATTTCAACATCAAGCACCAGCATAAGGTAAGCAGAAGTGCCAAAATCCGGCCTCCGACAAGTCCAGCAAGAACAATCAGAAAAAGAGCCAGATACCCTGAATTTCTCCGTGTATCTAGTTGCACCCCTTCACTAACAACAGCTGTTTCCATTTCCCCCTGCAACAATCGTTCTGAGCTACAAATGGCATCAGCATCTTCTTGTCCATCATATCTTCTACTTGACAGAGACAATAGTCGGTCATCAGATACCAATTCACATGGTTCCTTATCATTGTCCTCACCCAATTCTTCGACCTTATCTTCTCCCTCTGGACTGCATACTTCACTTTTCAAATCTAACCCTCTCTTCTTTGAACTACGTAGCTTCTTTAGGAAAAGTTTCTTCATCTTCGATTTTAACTTAGCTCTACGAGACTTTACATTCTTAAAATCTGAAACTTCACTTCCACAATCCTCTTCTTTCTCCACAACCACGTTCTTTGAGTGTGTATCATCGGGAATCTCATTCACACTTTGAATTTCCTCTATGTAAGACTTAGGCTGCTCAACTTGAATATCCTCAACGATGGACTTGGGCCATACAATTTGAGTATTCAAGTCATGACCCTTAATCAAAGCAGAACAATCAGAGATAAGGGACACTTCTCTCCCCCTATGTATCTTCGAACCACTAAGCTCTTCCTCTACCTCGCCCTGTTTGGTTCTACCAAAGCACATAACCCTTTGAATCAAAGATTTCAACAATTTTTTCGCCTCAGAACATGGTATAAAAAATCTGCATATATGCACCCCAACATATTCCAGGGAGAACAACAAGAAAGCAGACAGAGTGACCCCAACTGCGAATTTCTTAGTCCCCAAAGCCAAAACCACCACAAAAAACATCTTCCAAACCACCATCAAAACCCCTTTTGAATTTGCAATCTCAACACCTTCCTCAACAACAATATGATCACCCCCACGCACCCTAACATTTGACTCAAAACTAGATACAACATTTCCAACAACAATTTCATCACCAACCCCACTAGCAAAACACGTTCCCTGATTCGAATTCTCTGATTCAGAATCCAAAGCGCTAGCATTTGATGAATCATTGGAGTTCAAAGAATTCTTGAACGGCGGCAATGGGGAAAAAGATTGTACCTTCGGATCTAGGGCAGTAGAACGCTTTTTCTTTGAAGGTTTCTTCAACCGATCGCGATTCTTGACAAAAAGATCCACAAGGGAAGTGGGGAAACCGGTCTCCACAACAAGAGAGCCTCCATGTTTTGGAGTGTTGAGATGGTCGGCCACCAATTGGGAAATTCTTGAGCGCTTTGCCTTCTTCCATGGAAGAGGCATGATGGGTTTGTCTCAATCACTTAATCAAGCAATCAAGATGAGCCAAAACGCTATTGATTCATCGCCAAATGGGTTTCAATAGCGCTATTGAATCAATTCCCAACTCGGTTTGATCGTCAATCAAGATTTGTATGGTGATTGCATGGCGACACCCCCCCAAAAAAATGTGAGAGAGAAAGAGTGTAAAAATTAGAGGGGACTCTAAGGTAATCACCTGATCTTGATGGATTTTTTTTTCTGTAGAGGTTTGGGTATGTGTATATAAAAGAATAAACCCAAGAATCTAGAAAGAGAGAAAACGGAGTTGTAGAAAGAGTTGATGAAGGATGGTGTGAAAACTGAAACCCTTAGGAAGTTCACAGAGAGTAGAGAGAGAGTAAATGGGCGCGTGACAGATGTGAATAATTATGGCTGCTTCTGTTTGTCAGTAAATAGAGGGGTAACTACTATAGAAAGTGCACGCAAAATGTGTAAAATTGAAAATTTCGGATCCCCTTCTTTCCCTTTTTTTTCTTCATTCCTTTTAATACAAGTAATATGTATAAAATTTTAAATTTTATTGGACAAAATTTTTTCATTGTGATAAATTTTTTTAATAATAATTAACACTCTACCAATAATTAAATAAATAAAAAAATATCTTATCTATTGAAATTTAAAATCTTATACATATTATTCATCTAACATTATATTGAGATAAATTAAAAAAAAAAGATAATCGAGGAGGTCTATATCCAAAATTAAGGGTAGAGTTTTTAATATCGGTGGAAATAGGTTGCCTTATTTTTGGTGTTTCTCCAAGTTTGCTATTTTTTTTAGAGACATAACTAGGATTTTATTTAAAAGTGAATAAAATATGAATAAAAATTTATTAATCTATCTATATACATATAACAGTTTTTTTTTTGATCGTATATATACGTATAACAGTTCAAAAAATAAATCTATACACATAAAATATTTTTCAGGTAAGAGGATTTGAGAAGTCTTTTCTCTTTAAATGCATAATTTCTAGATTTTTAAAATATTTAATCAACCTATTCTAATAAAATTATTTCATTTGCTTTAGAGCAATGTTATTGAAATCTAATTTATAGACTTAATTTACTATGATATTTGAATTGATTGTGGGCCCTTCAAACATTAAAATTTGGTATTTATCCAATAATTTCAATGAAGTCACGTTATTAGGTCATTTAAATTAGATCAAATTTTTAGATTCAAATAATACTAACCTTTGAGTTATTTAATTACTCTCTCTATCTTTTATAACTACTCTCACTATTTTTTTAAAAAAAATTAAATTTAAAGTTTCACTCATATTTCTTCACTTTTTCACATTTAACAAATAATATTTTAATTAATTAATGAGTAATTTTTCATTAATATTATGGTTAAAAAAAGGTGAAACAGAAGAGATGATGAGAAGACAAATTTTCGCATAAGATAACTGCTAGTTGATACATAAAATCTATACGTTTAAGTAAGAGAAATAGACTCTTCAAAATACTTTGAACCTGATGGCGTAAATCAACGTGAATGAGCAAAAAAATGCAAGTAACGTGAGATAAGCATGGATCAGAACTGCAAGGCTCGTATATTGTAAATCTCTACATGTCTATACTATCAACAATCATTCTATTAATTTCGTTCTACTTTTAACGTCTTTATTTACATCCTAAATCAAACTATAAGAATAATAAGTATAAAGGGCTAAATAATGAAAGAGAAAAAAAAATATGACATTTGTATTCTCATCAACGAGCTAGTTTAGAGGAATTGAAGAAATTTTTTTTTCTAAATATACTAGTTCTACATTATGTTGTCATGGATGATTCTAGGAGAAGGAGGGTAATTTGGTTTTGGTTAATGAATGATGCTAGACATGGATGTTTATGAAAGTCATCCTACTTATATTGGAGATGGGTATGAGATAAGATTTGTGACAAAAGACACTCAAACTCGAGTTAAACAAGTATAGAAGAACCAAGCAGTCTGACAGACTACTTTTCACTAATTTGATCATAACTCTTTGTTGGAAAGTCCAAATTGCGCACCGTTATTTTTGTTAGAACCCTAACTCGTATATCTTTCCAACCATATAGGTCACACATACTAGAAATACCTGAGTCAAATCAGTTTATTCTCTGAAGTTGACCAAAAATCTGCACTATGGTGTTCCTTGGATAGTAAAGTGTAGTGCTTTCTTCTTAGACTTTGAAGGTGTAAACCCCCACATGTTTATATTAATATAATAATTTACTTGTTTAGTAATTTGTATATATTTAATGACGTATGAATAAACCATATATATTGAAACCATAAGAATTTGGGATAGCCGTTAGCACATATGGCGGTTCGGAGGAACAAAATAGTAATTTTAATATTTCGAGTGCAAATTTATTTTAATTTTGAAATAAATCATAAAAATAAATATTTTTAAGTTAAAATAACATTAAAAATGAATTCAGAACGTCGAAAAACCTTAGGGTAGTCATATGAATCAAATTGGAGATTTTTAGTGGCAAAATCATAATTTTGGAGAAAACCCAAATTGCAGCCTGTGAACAATAATCTGTCGGGACTGCTGTGTTTAAAACACAGATTTCAGCCCATTTGCCTCTATTTCTTTCACTCCACTCTCACCCCAAACCTCTTAGCACCCTAGGAGAAGATAGAGAAAAGGAGGAAAGGGAGAAATGAGGTCTCTTGAGCTTGGGTTTTGGTTTGAAACTTTGATTCAAGGTAGGAGAATTCTTCATATTCTCTTACATTGAGGTTAGAGTTAGTTTATATGTATTCTTTTGGCTTAAAAATCTTAATTACTTGTTATTATATACTTGACTCTTGATATTCTTGCATTTATTGTTATGTTTTAAACATTTTGGTGGTTGGGTAACCATTAAAACTCATTTACTTGCTTCAAAACCTAGTTTTCAAGAAAAATGGGATTTTTCCTTAATTTCTCCATTATTGTTGATTCCGAAAACTCTAGTGCTTTGTGTTGAGTAATGAAATAATATTTATGATGATCTCATGCTTTTCTTTTATAATGTTCTATTGGGATTATTTGATTCTCTTGTGATTTGAGAAATACCCATGTGATTGGGGGTTTATGAAATTATTTGTATTTGAGAAAATAGTTGGTATTGTATCTCTTGTGTGGTTGTGGGGATAAACATGGGTTACTATTGACGGGGTATCATGGAGTGGGTAGACGACTTCTTACTCCGTGTGGGTTGAACTATTCCTACCACTCGTAATGGGGTTAGTGCCTTGCGAAGGCTAAACCATTATCACTCACGGGGTATCGTGGAAAAAGGGAATTGTGTGGTTTGTACGTGGGTCATGATATTTTCGATGGTGACCATGTGAAATCTTACTTCATACCTGAGATACGAATACAGAAAAAGGTTTATTGTTTATTGTACCATAAATGGTTTCTACAAGAATCTTGGGAAGTATGGGATTCCGCAGGAACTTGGGAGAAACGATTTATGGTGGAATGGACTAGTTGTTGGATATTGGATTCATTTATGTCTTAAATTATTGTGGTGCTTAAACTTGAGATCTGTTTAAATGTCCTGATTTTTATTTTCAAAGTTATATATGTTATTTGTGAAATGAGACCGACCTGTTTTATATATTTTTTTTAAACCTTGTTTGAGTTGGGAGGATTTTGCTACAGAGCTTCGTGCTCATCCCCTACCGTTAAATATTTTTCAGATTTGGTGCTAGAGGAGGACCTCGGAGCTGACAAGCCGGGGCATGAGGAGGCCCTAACCGAGGGGATTCTAGATCCCGAGGTGGACATCTAGGGCTATAGTTATTTTTGTACTAGACTAAGAAATCTTATTTACGATCATAAATAGTCTAGTATTTTGTTTATTCCGCTGCTAAAGTTGAGTGTAATTCTTTTGGGATGTAATTGTCATAACTTGACTTATTCTTTTTGGGATGACATTGTGGATAGTACATATGATGAATGAAATATTTTTATTTGGTGGTTAAATGGACTCGGTGTGGTCAATGTAGTATAAATGCACAAGTTGAGTTTTTGGGTAGAGTTCCCCGTACAAAGGAGACTTTGCTCGAATTTTGTTAAATTAAGAATGTTTGTAAATCATGGATTTATTTAGTTGCTCTCATGATATGAATGATTTTAAATGGTAATGCTGTCCAGGGTGGTTTTTAGGGCGTTACGTATATGATGCTACAATAAAATATTGAGGGGATTAAGGGGGTGGACACAGTAAAAATATAGTGGTTCACCGGTTCAGAAGCTCGGCTAGTCCACTCTTCAATGGAGGTCCTTACTCCTTTTCTTCTCTATTGATTAGTTGAATGTGATACCAGACAGTGCTAAATTGGTTAGGATTTTTCTCTTTTTTTCTACCTCACGATGAGGCGTTGCATAGTATTTATAAGGGTCCCCCCTATCCCGTGGGATTTCGGCCGAGATATTTGCCCATTATTCATGGGATCCTCCTTGATTTTAGGATAGAATCTTGGTTGGTTGAGAGTTTCATGCATGGGGCCCAATTCCCGCAGTCACCCAGCTGTTTCCTGGTTGGTTCAGCTACGATCTCCCCAAGGGGAACTCCACCCTTTGTTCTCTGAGTTTCTCGTGTCTTTCCTGACCTCCTGACCCGACCTCCTAACCTGACCTCACATCTAGGATTAGTTTGAGGTATCATCAGTTGCCCCCCAGCCCCTGGTTTAAGCGGGCTTGGGCAAGGGTTTAGCTGTTTTGTAAATCGAGTAGGATCTTCACGTGGCTGACCTTGTCCCGCACGTGAGTTTGGCCTTATTGGCGACTTTCAGCAATCATGATTTCCTTGTTTTCCGCGTATATTTCAGTCCATGTCTTTCAAGCTTTAAATGCTCAAACAGCTATCTGAACTGCCCTATTCTACTATTCAACTTCTCTGCTGCTCCTCTCTTCTTGCGATTTCTTGGCTTTCTGGTTTGGAATTCTCTGAGTTCTCATTCAAGATCGA